CAGGTGGTTCCTTACCTTGTATATTTCTTAGATCTACCTAAAGAGATTTGCAACTTTTGTTTCTGGATAAACATTGTATTTTATCAAATGTACTTCAGCTGGTCAAGATGGAAGGTAAAGGAGCTTGCAGATCACACTGCAAAGCACTTGATAAAATATATTCAGTCACTCACACATACATTCACAGGCTGATTTAGGCGGGGGCAGACTGACAGAAGCGAAGCTGCTGCAGACGAGGCTGGAGAAGCGTTTTGCAACCGTGATGGATGGAAACCAGCAACCCACCGAATACACGACAAAAAACATCCTTCCCTCTGAGCCATTGTCACTCAGTTAAAAAGTCTCACTTGGTTCAAGGAAACAAGAATACAAAAAAAGGACACCTTAATGGAACATATTTGGACAAAGGGCTTTTAATATAAATTTTAACAATTAAAGCAATTTATTGTAATGATGAAAACAGGGTCTACCCAAAGCATAGGCGAACTAAACATGCGTAGGGCCCTCAAGAACAATTGGCTGTTTATTTGCATGTATGTGACATTAAGCCTGGCAGAAGTTAAACTAAAGAAAATGATTTCTTACCCTCATCTGCCTCCGACACAAACTAATCAGCTCTGGATCACACCTCCACGACTCCCAATCAGCATCCAGAGTTCATCTTAAAAGGTCTCCAAATCCACATCTCAGTCTGCTACCCAAAGTGCAGGCAGTGGTTGCGCTGTCTGACTTTGATTCAGATGACCATGATTCAACCCATCTCCATCCCCTCCTCCACCTTCGTAGCTAAAGCTTCATCAGGGTGTCATTCCTCTTGGACTCTTACTACATTCCCTGTCTCATCTTAACCGGTCCGGCAGAAGGCCGCCATGTTGAGCCTGGTTCTGCCAGAGGTTCCTTCAGAAATGGGGAGTTTTTCCTCTCCACTCTCACTTAAGGTTGCCAACTCCCTGAAAAAAAAAGGAACCTCATGTGCGTGCCAGCTGACTCGATTGCCTTTACCCCTCCTGGTGTGGTAACTTTATTTGATTTTATTTGACTCAAATCTGCATTGAATTAGATGCATATTTGCAGTGTGCTTTCTATTCATTATCGCAGACTTTTTCCAAACAGGGTTTTTTTTTTTTTTTATTCCTCCCTATATTTCTGCATCCTTTTTTTTTGCAAAAGTGCACTGCCCCCAAAAGCAGCATCCATTTAAATTACTTCATTAGTCCCCCGTACTGCTCTGTTGTCTCCAGCTATCTTCTCCACGAGCTCATTGGTCACACTGCAGGACAGGGCTCGGGAACAAGTATACCGTAAGTTTGTATCTAAGGTGCCCTTGTTCTTCATTTTCCATTAGGTTAGGACTATTTTGTTTGGCTGTCACAGTAATACAAGTGCGTTCCTTTTCCACTTAATATGGGAGAGGTGCTTCTATTTCTAAATACGGAGCAGAAGGGATGGTTGGCTAATTCTCCTTTCTGTGTGAGTTTTTCAGATTGAAATGTTTACAACTATAGTAACAAAAACACAATTTCGTGATAAAATTATATATTTTTTACATCAGTATATCTTTAATCATGTTAATTATACCTGAAAACAATCTTGGTTTCCATTATTTCAGAAGGTGCTTGATATTTTATGGTATATATGATTTAATCAGGTCTGTTTTTTAACCATTTACTGTATTTCTATTTATGAGAAAGATTTTTATCTTTTTATTCTTCCCTACAGGGTATCTTTGTAGGCCTACATTGTTTTTGCAGTTGGAACCAACAAATATAAACGGCATGACATACTAGTTTATTGTATCACATTTTGCATTACTAATATGATACTGTTAACTGCACTGCCAGAGCTGCAATGTGTTTAATGATTTGATCATTAGACTGTTGATTACAGAAATGGATATTATTGGTAGAAAACATGGTCCCCCAAAATCAAATTTTTTTAGGGCCCCATGGAGGCTTGGGCTGGCCCTGGATCCACAGTACATCAGATGTAAAACCTGTATTGTCTTTTATGGCGTCCAAATGGTAACAAAATATATGATATCAAATATTGATATCACCCTACATTTTCATATCAGTGAAACACTAATTTATAAAAGACAGAAGAAAAGATTATACCTTTTACAGTATTCTTTAAACACTTACACAAGTCGAATTTTTTCGGTTTCACCTGGTTTGACTGTGTAAAAGATCTTCTTTAAAGGAATAGTACACCCAAAACATGATTAGCCTTCATTTTCTACTCACCCCCATGCTGAACAACACTCTGGAGTACTTTTTTGATATCTCAAATGCATCTGGAGATCTGGGAGGCTTCTTGCTGTCTGCTGACATTCAAATAATGGAGGTCCATGCACTGCAAAAACAATCCAGAAATAAGTAAAAAATGGCTTAAAATAAGTATATTTAGCCTTAATTTGAGCAGGTAAATAAGATGATTTGCCAATGGAATGAGTATTTTCACTCTTAAAATAAGATAGTTAGATAATATTTACTTGAAATAAGACGATAAAATAGTTTTTTCTTATTTTAAAAGGAAATTGTCTTGTTCCATTGGCAAAGTGTCTTACTTACCTCCTCAAATCAAGGAAAAACACACTTATTTTAAGAAAAAATAACTTTTTGAGATTTCTATTTTTTGCAGTGTGGCGACCGAGACAGAAAGTGTCAATATTCCTCCAGACTGCTCGTCCAATGTATTCCAAGTGTCCTGAGTGGGTAGCATCCAGAATTTACTCGAAACGAAGTCATTTAGAATGTTTTTAGAGCATAAACAGTAGTGTGGGATTTCCTGAAAGCGCGCGCCTGCGCGTTCATGACGCTACGGAAGCCGGCAGACCAAACCAGATGAAAGTGCGCATTCGCGTCTGCTCTGCCGATAATGCAAGCGTAGCAGAAGAAATGTGCTGTTTACCTGTGCAAAGAAAGAAACAACGAAAGAAAAATGTCTGAGGACTTCAGTGTTGAGGAAGAGCATGAGTTCTTTGCCGAGCTGAATGCGCTGGTTTGGTCTGCCGGCTTCCGTAGGCTCGTGAACGCGCATGTGCGCACTTTCAGGAAATCCTATACACTACTGTTTATGCTCTAAAAACATTCTAAATGACTTTGTTTCGAGTAAATTCTGGATGCTACCCACTCAGGACACTTGGAATACATTGGACGAGCAATATGGAGGAATATTGACACGTTTTTGTGGACTTTTATGGACATTTCTGTCTCGGGCACAATAGACCTCCATTATTTGAATGTCAGCAGACAGCAAGAAGCCTCCCAGATCTCCAGATGCATTTGAGATATCAAAAAAGTACTCCAGAGTGTTGTTCAGCATGGAGGTGAGTAGAAAATGAAGGCTAATCATGTTTTGGGTGTACTATTCCTTTAAGGAACTTATCCTGTCAGATTACTACATGATTAATCGAAAAAAAAAAAAATAACAGATTCATTGATTGGCAAAATAATCATGAGCTGCAGCTCTAATCATTACTAATCCAATTTAAATTTAACTGTCTGCTCTGGATTAAATCTTTATACCCTTCACTGGCGTCTTAAAATATGAAATATTTCCAGATCAATTTACTTCTATATGGTCCCTGTTAAGTGAAGTGCTTCTGACCCATAAAATGGTGCAGAGACAAGTGATGGCCTCAATTACTGTTTGAGCAAAAAAAATTTCTAAAAAAAAAGCAATGAACCACAAATATAGTAATATTATACAAATCGACAACCGAAAATAGTTATTTTTTTGCTCATTTTAAAGCGATGCTTTTTAAGACCCTATTCTGGTTGATAAAGGACCCTAAGTTTAGGAATTAATGCTCTAAAATAACATCATGCTACCATAAACATTGTCAAACTTCTAATGATCAACATGATTAACTGGCTGCTCAGTGAAACAGTGGGTAGCACTTCTGCCTTGCAGCAGGGAGGTTCTGGGTTTGATTCCTGGCCCGGGGTCTTTCTGCATGGAGTTTGCATGTTCTCCCTGAGCATGTATGGGTTCTCTCCAGGTACTCTGGCTTCTTCCCACAGTCCAGAAACATGACTGTTTGGTTCTCGAAATTCTCCTTAGGTGTTAGGTTGAATGGTTGTTTTGCCCTGCAATGGACTGGCCACCTGTCCAGGGTGTACCCTGCCTCTCGCCCATAGACAGCTGGAGATAGACACCAGCATCCCTCACAACCCCAGCAGGGATAAAGTGTGACAGAAAATGGATTGATGGATTAAAGGTGTAAAAATTCTGCATTTTGTTATATACACTGATTATGGAAAAAGATGAAAATACTTGCTTCATAAATGTTTTGTGGCCATCATAATGCTTCACTGTTATTCTATAGGTGAATTAGTAAAGCAAAGCATAGAAAAAGCATTTGGCACAATTTTGCACATTTGGAGAAGTTTGGAGACGCTGGTGACATCAAAAGCTCAAAACCCCACAGCTCTGGAACTGTTGGTCTGAAATGTTCTGCATTGGTGGCTGACATTAGGCAGAACAAGTGTAATACAATGAGACCTGCCTTTTCTCAAGCATGTCTTTATTACTGCTGTTCAAAAAAGACCTATTATTTTCAAGAATAAAAAACAACTTTGAGTCATGTTTGAACTAATGTAGCTTGGTCTGTCTTCTACTCACCCAATTTTAATTTATTTATATATTCAGACACTAGAGGGTATTAACTTTCAAATAATGTATTGCACATGTCATTTGCTTTTCCATTTGGGCATGCAAAACAGGCAAGAATTTCCCAAAATGAGGTGGATGCTACTGTTTCACACTAAGTAAAAATAGTGTTATTTTTCTTTTTGACACTGTTAATAAGAAAAAAGAAACATGTTTGGTCTATTGTTGTCTAATATAATTATGCATATATATATATAAAAGTTTAAAAAAAGTTACAGAACCCGTCTAATTAGATTGTTAAAAAGAACCGGATGCCTTTATTCTGACAGGGGCTTTTATTTTGACAGGTATAAGCCGGAAGCTGCGGCTCCTCTGATCTGAGCGGTGCTCTCCGTCCTGCTCTGCTCTGTTTATCCGCTGCACAGCGACTCGGCACAAGCAGGATCATTGAGGATACTTGACAACTTTCATTGTCTGCTATGACATCTCGCAGGTAATATCCGGCGTCTTTTTGATCATATATCTTTGTATTTATATATTGCAGTTAAACCTTTTCTGTGGGTTTTCGGGCAAAAGCCGAACTTTTTTCTCTATGTCGCTCCTCGCGCTCCTCTGACCGCTCAGCCAAATGGATTCAGCTTATCCAAGGACGCTATATTTACAGCTTTTATTTTATCTTTTAAACAAAATTTAGTTCTTCTAGATTTCTATTGTAATTTTTAAGTTTACAATCCCCTTTTTGGTTTGACTTTTTTCTTTTTTTACAATTTGGGATCAACAATCCAAATTTATGACACGGTTTTAGATTTAAAACAATTATTATTAACTTGGATGCATGCAATCACATTCACAGATTCTATTATTAAATTTTTCATAAAACTATATAATAATACAGTTAATTTCTGCCCTTTCATTAAAACTGATACACTGAAAAAAATAATGCAATAATTGGTATTTACTTAATCATATTTAGTTTACTGTTAGTTTTTTTTTGTTTACTCTAACACAAATGTTTCATGTAAGCATGGTAGGACATAAAACAAGTGTGTTAAAGTAACTAAATATGATTAAGTAAATGTCAAAAGCAGTTGCATTATTTTTTCAGTGTATACTTTTAAAGATTATTGCGATTTATTAAGATGATGATGATGATCTTGAAGGGGATCTGCTGCTTTCTGGAGCCAGTGAAGGTGTTGCACATTTCTTTAAAGTAACTTCGACATTTATTTTTAAATAAGTCTCTTATGCCTTTATTTTATTTTATTTATTTATTTATTTTTTTTTTTTTGACATCCTGGCTCCACACCTGATTACCAAAACTGTACGGCTTTCAGAACATTTCCATTCCTTAAAGTGCAGCGGTGATCAAATGTAAACAGTGTGAGAGAAAAAACATGGTGCAAAAAAACCCCAAAAATCATATATACGGAAGTTCAGAGCATGTATATGACATCGATTTAAAGAAGTGTAAAATGATATGTGATATTAGAACCCTTCTAGATAATGTGACCCAATCAAGAGAACAAATACCCAATATACAGGTGCTGGTCATAAAATTAGAATATCATGAAAAAGTAGATTGATTTCAGTAATTCCATTTAAAAAGTGAAACTTGTATATTATATTTATACATTACATACAAACTCATATATTTCAGATGTTTATTTTGTTTAATTTTGATGATTACAAATGACAACAAATGAAAATCTCAAATTCATTATATCAGAAAATTAGAATATTACTGAAGACCAATAAAAACAAAGGATTTATAGAAATGTTGGCCAACTGAAAAGTATGAACATGAAAAGTATGAGCATGTACAGCACTCAGTATTTAGTTGGGCCTCCTTTGGCCTGTATTACTGCAGCAATGCGGCGTGGCATGGAGTCGATCAGTCTGTGGCACTGCTCAGGTGTTATGATAGCCCAGGTTGCTCTAATAGTGGCTTTTAGCTCTTCTGAATTGTTGGGTCTGGTGTATTGCATCTTCTTCTTCACAATACCCCATAGATTTTCTATGGGGTTAAGGTCAGGAGAGTTTGCTGGCCAATTAAGAACAGGGATACCATGGTCCTTCAACCAGGTACTGGTAGCTTTGGCACTGTGTGCAGGTGCCAAGTCCTGTTGGAAAATGAAATCTGCATCTCCAAAAAGTTGGTCAGCTGCAGGAAGCATGAAGTGCTCTAAAACTTCCTGGTATGTGGCTGCGTTGACCCTGGACCTCAGAAAACACAATGGACCAACACCAGCAGATGACATGGCACCCCAAACCATCACTGACTGTGGAAACTTTACACTGGACTTCAAGCAACGTGGATGAAGTGCCTCTCTTCTTTTCCTCCAGACTCTGGGACCTTGATTTCCAAAGGAAATGCAAAATTTACTTTCATCAGAGAACATGACTTTGGACCACTCACCAGCAGTCCAGTCCTGTTTCTCTTTAGCCCAGGCAAGACGCTTCTGACGCTGTCTGTGGTTCAAGAGTGGCTTGACACAAGGAATGCGACAGCAGAAACCCATGTCTTTCATACGTCTGTGTGTGGTGGTTCTTGAAGCACTCACTCCAGCTGCAGTCCACTCTTTGTGAATCTCCCCCACATTTTTGAATGGGTTTTGTTTCACAATCCTCTCCAGGGTGCGGTTATCTCTCTTGCTTGTACACTTTTTTCGACCACATCTTTTCCTTCCCTTCGCCTCTCTATTAATGTGCTTGGACACTGAGCTCTGTGAACAGCCAGCCTCTTTAGCGATGACCTTTTGTGTCTTGCCCTCCTTGTGCAAGGTGTCGATGGTCGTCTTTTGGACAACTGTCAAGTCAGCAGTCTTCCCCATGATTGTGTAGCCTATAGAACTAGACTGAAAGACCATTTAAAGGCTTTTGCAGGTGGTTTGAGTTAATTAGCTGATTAGAGTGTGGCACCAGGGGCCATCAATTTTGAACCTTTTCACAATATTCTAATTTTCTGATATGATGAATTTGAGATTTTCATTTGTTGTCATTTGTAATCATCAAAATTAAACAAAATAAACATCTGAAATATATGAGTTTGTATGTAATGTATGAATATAATATACAAGTTTCACTTTTTAAATGGAATTACTGAAATCAATCTACTTTTTCATGATATTCTAATTTTATGACCAGCACCTGTATATGAACACGTCCAACTTATCAAGCCATCTGCTCCTCCTTCCAGAACAAGCAGATCACGTCATATCATTTTAGACTGTTATATAATCAAATTTTTCTCATATTTTTAGGGAATTACTTGTTATTAGCTTCTACATATAATGAAAAGGGAAATGATAAAAGGTTTTTCTCTTTTAAAATATGAAATGGGTTGTATGCATATGGTATAACCCCTAACCTAAATACAACCCAGTGTGACCAGTCACCTAACTAGCAAATAGTCTTCTTATATTAAATTTAATCTCAGCTATTCTGTTTCAGTGGCTGCATGTTGTTACTGTTTGTGTTTTAAATACAGATGCTTATATGGTTATTCATCATGTGTCTGCCCTTTTGGCAGGATTCTGATTTCGTACATTATCTAATATAATAAAGAGCATGGAACACGAGAACGCCCACCATTGCAAGCAAGTTGGGGGATTGTTGGCCTAGTGGTTAGCGCAGTGCGGTTGTGCTTTAAGAAGGTTGCAAGTACCTGGTTTGAACCACACAGCCTAAACTCTGGGTTCCTGAGCAAAACCTTTAACCCCACACTGCTCCCAAGGTGCCGCACAATGGCAGTTCACTGCTCCCCATGGGGATCGGTCAAAAGCAGAGAGTGAATTTCCCCATTGTGGGACAATAAAGGGATTTACATTACATTTGGGGAGTGGTGGCTTAGTGGTTACGGCATAGAACTTGGAATCCTGAGGTTCTTATTTCGAGCCCCACTCCCACAGACTGCCACTCTGGGTCTCTGAGCATGACCATTAAAAGCTGGTTATCCTCCCACAGCAGTGTGTCGCACAGTCGCAGCCATTTTTGATGTATGCCAGAATTGAAGCGTGGTCTGTGCTATGTTATGCCACGCCACAACGCAAGAGGGACAATCAGGAACTAGCTGTGGGTCTAGATACGGCCAAGGAGGTGAGGAAGTGGGGGCAAGGTTGTGCAACAACGGAGGGACATGAGGACGAAAAAGAGCGGGGATCCAGGTGGAAAAAGGGTCCCAGCGTTGTTGCGCACCTCGCTCTTCTAACTGGTCCATCTTCACGAGTAGTTTTCCACAATGGCGGTCATACAAACAAAACTAGGCGGTAAGGTACCAAACAGGAAATTGGCATAGTGTAGAGCGGATGCAGATTTGACCAATCAGAGGCCTCCTGTCTGCGGTCACCTACAATTTGGAGAGGTGCAACAGAGTGTCTGTAGAGAGGGCTGGGGGACATCTACGTTAACTGCGACACACATGCAGACGACCTGGTTTCTGAGTATAAATCAGTAGGGGTGCACCGATAAATCGGCCGGCCGATCGATCAGCCCCGATTTCCTTAATTTAGGGTGATTGGTGATCGGCCGATATTTACATATGAAACCGATCTTAACCACAGATCTATTTACCTCCACTAGTGTCTTAAAATCAGTTGCTATTCCATATTTTTTTCTGAGCTTTTGTTGAAGTTTTGTTTTTTGAAATGTAAAAAAATCAAAAGACCAATGTTGTAGTCTTAAGTTTGTTTTATTTAATATTTATTATTTTATTCATTTCTATGTCAAGGCTCTACCTCATGGGCAGTTAAAACAAATTTATAATAGTTGAAGGCTATTGTTCAAGGGCATGTTTTTCAAGAAAAGATTGTAACATTGACAGTGAATTGCGATCTTGTAACACAGTGTTGGTTATAGCAAAAAAAATAATAAAATCGGTATTAACCAAAAAGCGGAATCGGCAGGTCAGACTTTTTAAAGATCGGTGATTGGAAATCGGCCGGAAAACTGCAATCGGTGCACCCCTATAAATCAGTACAAATTTACCAATGAACAGGTAAATTTCTCCAATGTGAGATCAATAAAGCTCAATGATTATTATTATTAAAGGATGGTACTATAAGAATTGACTACACTGTAACTCTGGAGGAGCCAGAAATGTCCACAGCTCAGATGCAAAACACAGTTTTCATGACAACTAATCTGCTTTAAGCTGAAGAGAGGGCCTTTGTCCAACAAACACCATTAAAACCCTGCTTGCAGTATTTGAAGGAAAAGAAACAATGAATACATACAATACATACATTAGTGTCTTCAAAGGGATTAATTTTAGAAAATGTCTTGAAGGCACTGTAGCTAAGATTAGTCTCTTTTTTTTTTTTTTTTACTCATGAGCCATGATTGCTGCACCTTTGTAGAGAGTGAGCATAAATCTGATAAGCCGTGCAACATTAAGGGAGCGCTTTACATATCTAAACTACTCTCACCCCCTTGAATAGGTATTCACATCTCCACACAGACCTAAACATTCCTCTGATCCATAAGATATGTGCCTGA